AGCACTTTTGGACCAAATGCCCACCAGAAACCATGTGCTGGATGACTTAACTGATTTAACTGTTGAACTCCCACACTGGGACCAAGCTATCCTGATTGGTGAGTTAGTGATTGTCTCAGATCATCATATCATGCTTAAAGCCCACAATCTTCTTCCTATCTGCTCTGTCTTCTAGTGTATACATCTACTTTCTCTAGTTATCGTTCAAGCACTACATTCAAATCAACCATCAGTACTGAGAAGGCCACGTCAATCATCTCCCCCACAGCTTCACTCGCCGTGTCAGTGATTCCCCAAACCAAAACATCCTTTCCTAGCCACCACTTCACAATATGTATTCTCTCCTCCTATTAAAACATAAGCTCTTTGAGGGCAGCCACTATATAGCTTCTGTTTTTGTCTTGTATCACCCTTATACAAATCACTCTAGCACAGTGCTTAGGACATAAAAATGTTGCAAAATTGCATTTGATTTACTCACTTATCCTCTCTCATGAAATTCTTTTGTATATACTTTGCATTTACTTATTAGGTTCATATTATATACATTTCCAGGAGCAGAATGTAAGCTCAATGAGGGTAGGAACATTTTCTTTTTTTTCTTTGTATCCTCAGTGCCTAACAGAGTGTGTGGACCACAGTAGACACTTAATAAATGTTTAGGGTTGAATTGATGAGGAATTTCATCTAGACCTTGAGGAATGGATAACATTTAGATAAGCAGAAGAGTGAAGATGATAAAGCTATGAATAAAACCAAGGGAAGTTAAAGGAACAGTGAATAAACCGGTTTGGCTACAATTCAGAAATCACACAAGGGAATAATGGGAGACAAAAGTGGAAAAAGGAAGATGGGGGCAGATAAGAAGGCCTACAACACCAAAATTCAAAATTTGGATTCCAATCAAGTCCCTAAGAGTAAGAATTATTTATATCATCTTATCATTGTACATAGTTCAGTATATATCACAATACCTTGGCACAGAATAAACATTGAATAAATATGTTAGTTGCTCCTTAATCTTCTCTTAGACTCTCTTATCTCTATAAATTTTCCCAGGTCAACTCCCAGTGGCTGAAACATACCCCTTCCACATCTGTGCATATTCTAGACTCCCCAAGCTTAAAATTATCTCCTACTCATCAGATTTTATTCTAGCAATTTTTCCTTTACCTTTATCATACCTTACCTTCTATTTTCTTCATGTGTATATATATATACACACATACATATATGTGTGTGTGTATGCATTATATGTATATATGTATGTACATGTACACATAGACACATAAATATGTGTGTATAAGCTCCCTCTCTTCCCCCCTTAAAATACAGTAAGTCTCTTCAAGGCAGAGATTATATGATTTTTCATTTTGTACCTGCCCTGCTCAGCACTGCACCTTGTATGTGGCACACACCTAAGAGCTGATGAATTTAATTGAATTTGTTGGACTGACTGTAGGTCTTTGAGCTTGAATATGATATGACCAAAGAAGTATCTTTTTTATTAATTTATTTATTTTTGGTTTTCAATATTCACTTCCACAAGATTTTGAGTCCCAAATTTTCTCCCCATCTCACACCTACCCCTACCCAGGCATGCATTCTGAATACTCATTCCCCTAATCTGCCCTCCCTTCTATCTCTCCCCACTTCTCTTATCTCCTTCCCCTTCTATTTTCCTGTAGGGCAGGATAGGTTTCTATACCCCATTGTCTGTATATCCTATTTCCCAGTTGCATGTGAAAACAATTTTTAACATTTGTTTTTAAAACTTTGAGTTCCAAATTTTCTCCCTTCCTCCCTCCCAACCTACCCTCACTGAGAAGGAAAGCAACTCGACACAGGTTATACATGTGCAGTCATGCAAAACATTTCCACAGTAGTCATGTTGTGAAAACTATATTTCCCTTCATCTTATCCCACTTGAGTTTATTCTACTCTCTCTTTTAACCTCGTCCCTCCTCAGAAGTGTTTGCTTCTGATTAGCCCCCTCCCTCAACCTGCCCTCCTTTCCATTATCCTCCTGCTCTCTTATGCCCTTCCCCCCTATTTTCCTGTAGGGTAAGATAGATTTCAATACACAACTGAGTGTACGTTATTCTCTCCATAAGCCAAGTCCAATGAGAATAAGATTCACTCATTCCCACTCACCTTCCCCCACTTCCCTTCCACTGTAAAAGCTTTTTCTTGTCTATTTTCTGTGAGATAATTTACCACATTCTACCTCTCCCTTTCTCCTTTTCCCAGTATACTTCTCTCTCACCCCTTAATTTTATTTTTTAGATATCACCCCTTCATCTTCAACTCACCTTGTGCCATCTCTCTATCTCTCTATCTATCTATCTACACATATAATTTTTTCCCTCCAACTACCCTAAAGGTCTCATGAGTTACAAATATCATCTTTCCATGTAGAAATGTAAACAGTTCAACTTTAATAAGTCCCTTATTATTTCTCTTTCCTGTTTATCTTTTCATGCTTCTCTTGAGTCTTGTATTTGAAAGTCAAATTTTCTATTCAGCTCTGGTCTTTTCATCAAGAATGCTTAAAAGTCCTCCATTTCATTGAATATCCATTTTTTCCCCTGAAGGATTATACTCAGTTTTGCTGTGTAGGTGATTCTTGGTTGTAATCCTATTTCCTTTGACCTCTGGAATATCACATTCCAAGCCTTCCAGTCCCTTAATGTAGAAGCTGCTAAATCTTCTGTTATCCTGATTGTGTTTCCACAACACTTGAATTGTTTCTTTCTGGCTGCTTGCAATACTTTCTCCTTGACTTGGGAACTCTGGAATTTGGCTATAATATTCCTAGGAGTTTTCCTTTGGGGATCTCTTTCAGGAGGTGATTAATGGATTCTTTCAATTTTAATTTTACCCTCTGGTTCTAGAATATCAAGGCAGTTTTCCTTGATAATTTTTTGAAAGATATCTAGGGTCTTTTTTTGATCATGGATTTCAGGTAGTCTAATAATTTTAAAATTATCTCTCCTGGATCTATTTTCCAGGTCAGTCGTTTTTCCAATGAGATATTTCACATTGTCTTCTATTTTTTCATTCTTTTGGTTGTGTTTTACAATTTTTTTGATTTCTCATAAAGTCACTAGCTTCTATTTGCTCCATTCTAATTTTTAAGGACTTATTTTCTTCAGTGAACTTTTGAACTTCCTTTTCCATGTGGCCAATTTTGCTTTTGAAGGCATTCTTCTCCCTGTTGGCTTTTTGGACTTCTTTTGCCATTTGGGTTAGGCTATTTTTAAGGTGTTATTTTCTTCAGTACTTTTTTGGGGGGTCTCCTTTAGCAAGCTGTTAACTTGTTTTTCATGATTTTCTTGCATCACTCTCATTTTTCTTCCTAGTTTTTCCTCTACTTCTTTTACTTACTTCTCAAAATCCTTTTTGAGTTCTTCCATGGCCTGGGGATGATTCATATTTTTTTTTTGGAGGCTTTGGATGTAGGAGCTTTGACTTTGTTGTCTTCTTTTGGTGTATGTTTTGATCTTCTTTGTCACCAAAGAAAGAGTCTATGGTCTGACTTTTTTTGTGCTAGCCAATTACTTGAGTTTTAAACTCTTTGTTAAGGTAGGGGTCTGTTTCCAGTGTGGAGAATCACTGTCCCAAGCTTTGGGGGTTTTGTGCAGCTGTTTTCAGAGATACTTCTAGGGACCTGTAAATTTTCAGTTCATCCAAGATGGTACAATCAACGGCAAGGTGTTTACTCCTTTCCTGGCTGTGCTCTGGTCTGTTGAGTGACCACAAGCACTCTTTTCTGCCTTGGAACTGTGAGGAGGATTCCCTATCTACCGCCACTACAAGCTCCACTATGCCAGCACTTCTCCTTGCCCTAGGACCACCACCAAAAACTGTGACCCAGATCCAAGTACAGACAAAGCAAGAGAATCCTGCCTCAGCATCAGCAAAAAGATCCCTGCAATCCCCCTCTGATCAGCCACTCGATTTCCCTCTGTGGGCCCAGAGCTCCAGAAGTAGCCGCCTCCGTAGGACCACACCGGAACTAGGGCTGGGACCAAACTTCTCTCTCACCGAGGTCACAGACCTTTCCTGCTGACCTTCTAAGTTGTCTTTGGCATTTGTGGGTTGAGAAGTCTGGAAACCACCACACCTGCCCATGATTCAGTCCCCTGAAGCCTGCTCCAGGTTCACTGAGATTTAGTCTTTGCCTGCACATGCACCCATGCTGAACTGAGTTCCTCTCCCAGCCTGGCGTAATAGACCTTTCCAATCAACCATTCAGGTTGTCTTGGGCTGGAAATTTGTTTCACTCTATCTTTTTGTGGGTTCTGCTGCTCTAAAATTTGTTTAGAGCCATTTTTTTTTACAGATATTTGGAGGTGTTTGGGGGAGAGCTCAAGCAAGTCACTGCTTTTACTCCACCATTTTGGCTCTGCACCCCCCTTCCCAAGAAGTATCTTAAGAATATTAAACACTGTATAGTATAGATTTGAAGAAAGAAAGGCTAGAGACAGGGGAACCAGTTAGGATGATACTGCAGTAATCAGGAAAGAAGCAATAGTAATTGTAACAAGAACTGGAATGATAATGATGGCAATGAAAATGAATAAATAAATGAGGGAGGTTTTTTTGTTTGCTTTTTCAATCAAGAGGATTTGTTGGAGTGATTTGTATAAGGCTGATAATAAGACAAAAACAAACACAAAAGAATAACCTCAATTTATCTTGGGACCAAAAAATAATGTAAAGGAAAATAAAACTTATTTTCAATTTTATCTTTTTGGTACCTGTAAGGTGGAGGACATATTAAAGTGTATCACATTATTCTGGGCCATTAGTAAAATTTAAATATGTTTCAGGGCACGGTCACCTCAATTCTCAACTTTCTTGAATTTATCTCCAAATTAAATTTGGAACATTATGCAAGCTCTATGCTTAATAAATTAGGCAAATATTAAGGACACCATGGAAACCACAAAATTAGCACTTAGAGAATAAGTGAAGGTAAGGTGCTAAATACCTACCAATCTGTAGAGTTCCGTGATGCTAATATCCTCAGGGTCCACCATTGCATATTCCTTTCGAGGCACCAAATCTAATCCAAGTTGTCTGGAAAACAAGACGTAGAAATTTATAAGAGCTGCCTCTATGGAATAGGCTAAAAAGGTATATTTTCTTATGTTTTTTTTTAAACTTAGCTATATTCTCCACCATGCTGACTGAAGTCATTCTTTTTTTTTTCTTTTTTAGGCAATTGGGGTTAAGTGACTTGCCCAGGGTCACACAGCTAGTAAGTGTCAAGTGTTTGGTCTGAGGCTGGATTTGAACTCAGGTCCTCTTGACTCCAGGTGCTCTATCCACTATGCCATCTAGCTGCCCCTAATCATTCTTAAATATGTGTTAGTCTCAAGCAGTTTCTCTAACTAGAGTAAAAATCAGTAGCATAAGTCACTGAGGAAAACCAAGAAATTACTAGTAAATATAAAAAGCTGATATTGTCAATGAAGCATCCCCATCACTGGGGATACCACTTTCCTAGGCCAAATACATAAGGAAAGTAAAAATGGTTTATGTTTTAGTGAAAAGGATGGGGACAGTGACCCAGTGAAAGATAAGAACCTTTCTGGAGAGACAGTCAACTCAGGGCATAAGGGGAGTGTTGAGGAATAAATTCCAAAGATTTTGGTAGCATCAAGCAAAATAAGTAGGCCAAATAAGGCCTCAATAAATGAGTGGGTTTTATGATGGTTCTACCATCACTGACGTTGAAAAATTTCTAGAAATCTTGATAATATGAAATGGACTAAATTTGGTGAAAAAATGATTTGAAAGATAAAGTATTACTCCATGAGGGCAAAAAAAAAAAAAAGAAAGAAAAGACAAGACAAGACAAGAAATCTTAACAAATCTTTTCTTTTTGGGGGAGGGGGGCTGTTTATTGTCTTTTCAGTTTTATTCTTGAGAGTTCTCAGGATGATCTTCCTTAGTTGGGTCTCTTACTAAATATTCTGTAAATCTGTATTTCCCCCTAGTGTAAATCACTGTTTTATGAGACAGCATTACTCAGAATCTCCTACCACAGGCTAATATATTTATACCCTAAAGTATGGTTGCCCTTGGAGGTCCCATCTCATCATATGGCATGAAGATCAAATGTATGATGGCTAACGTGGTTTTGAGGGTCTTTTGGTCTCGTTATGATGATTTATTTACATCAGTTAGATAATTAGCAAATGTGTGTTACATTGTATATATATTTATAAAAGAATTAAAAGGCAGAATGGCCTAGGACAGGGGTGGGGAACCTAAGACTTCAAGGCCTGTAGGTCCTCAAGTGCGGTCCTTTGATTAAATCCAAACTTCACAGAACAAATCCCCTTAATAAAAGTATTTGTTCTGTAAAACTTGGACTCAGTCAAAAGTCCTCACCCAAGGACCTAGAAGGACAGATGTGGCCTCAAGGCCCCACCCCTGGCTAGGAGAAAGAACATGAAACTTGTAGGCAGAAGAGACCTAGTTTAAAACTTTGACACTTACTAAATATACTATAGACAAGTCAACTATCTCCTAAGCCTCCATTTCCCCATCTGTAGAATGAGAAAATCATAACTCTAACATTCAGATCAAAATGTTACCACAAAGATCAATAGGATAATGTACATAAAGTACATTAAGTAATTATATAAATGTTAGCCATTATTATTTAGTTCGTATCAGTATATTAGTTCATATTAGTTCATATCAGTATATTAGATATATTGAAAGAGGTGTGATTTATTAACAAGAGACTTAAATAGATTAAATAATTTAAATTTAAATAATTAAATAATGTATGTAATGGTCAATTCTATGTCCTACGGATCTGATACTTACCTCAATGCACAATGCTTTGCATGTAGGACTTTAACAAATGATCAAAGAATGAATGAATAGCCTTTATACTCTACTTCTACCTGGTAAAAAGACTACTTTTTCATGCCTATTCCCATTCTCATCAACTTATATAAGCGCTTCCCATTTTATAGCATTTCTAACTCTAACCTGAAAATAAAAAAGCTAGACTACACAGTCATATTTAATTTAGGGTAATTCTGTGTTTATGTTTCTTATTAAACATTTTCTGGCCCGTTTTATCTTGTTTAGAAAGTAAATTCCTAGAGGAGGTATCTAAAGTTATAATGTACCCACTTAAAGGAAATACATGTAATAAAGAAACACAACAAAATGTGTGTCACTTTAAATGTGGGATTATGGAATGCAGGTTCAAAATGAATTGCCTTTATAGGAAATATAATCAATATCTAGAAAATTCACCCATTAGATAGGTAACATAAGTAGATTACACTATTCATTTTATGCTTTAATACCTGTTTAAAAACACAACAACAAAACCATTAGCCCAAAATGCAGCTGAGTGATTACATACATCAAAAAAAGGAATTATTATTCAGTCAAAATGACTATTTATCTTTCCTTCTCACTTATCTCTTGCATTGCCTTTTGCCTCTGACTTCATATTTATTCTTTAAACTGAAAAAGGGATTAATCCGTCCCTTGTATCCATTTCTAAAACTGTTTTTAATATGACAACCTATTTAAGTCTCTTGTTAATAAATCACACCTCTTTCAATATATCTAATATACTGATATGAACTAATGACATTCACTTTCCTAACATTTAGATTTGCTTGTTAGATTGAACTGAATTGAACCTTGGAGAGCAAGTAGTCTGACTCCTTAATTTTTGTTTATAAAGGAAGAAACCGGGGCCATGAGAAGTTTACTGGCTTCTCCAAGGTCACTAAGGTAGTCAGAAGCCAACCAGGGATTCAAACCTAGGCTCAATATCTTCAGCTTCAGCATTCTTTCCACTATACCAGATTTTGTAATACCCTTTTTCCACCATTTATCAATGCGGGCTCTCTGTTAATCCCAGGAAAGAGCCCCCAATATAATCAGAATTTTGCAGTCCAGTCCAGGGGTGGGGAACCTGTGGCCTCGAGACCACATGTGGCTTTCTAGGTCCCTGGGTGCACTCTTTTGACCAAGTCCAAATTTTACAGAATAAATCCTTTTATTAAGGAGATTTGTTCTGTGAAGTTTGGATTCAATCAAAGGGCTGCACTTGAGGACCTAGATAGAGGGCCACATGTGGCCTTAAGGCCACAGATTCCCCACCTCTGGTCTAGGCCAGTGGTGTTAAACTCAAATATACAGACACCTGATGATCACATATTGACTCAAAACCTCACAAATTAACATAATCCATGTGGCATTTCATTTACGTTTATTTTGTTAAATACTTCCAAAATATATTTTAATATGGTTGGGGCAGCACTTAGGAGTATGTAGACCATATACCAAGGACTACATGTTTGACATCTCTCATCTAGACTAAGTAACTGCAGTGGCATTTTTTCGAATAGCCTGTTCATTCAAAACACCATCTTTTGCAAATGTGACAAAACTAAGGACTCTAAAAGAACATGATGGTAGTTGGTTTCAGGACTAAACTGATTTAACAACCATTTAGTAGAGAACTACTAGTAAAAATGTATAGTGCCAGGTGCTAGTAATATAAAAGACAACAAAAAATTCCATATTTCAAGAATCTTACAATTTAGTAAGTCACATAAGATAAATGCACAGTAGTTGGATGATACAAGTTATATGTCCTGTGCCCAGGACACAGAATTTCAGAATAATATGATCTGGAATGGGAACAAGGAATTCTTCAAACACAGAGATGTCACTGGAGCTGGACTATGAGGGAGTAAACGGTTTAATCACAGATGTGGATGGGGAGGAGAGAGAGAAGGGAAAGGAAAGAACAATCATTTATCAAGCATTTACTATGCACTAGGCTCTTTGCAAAACATTTTATAAATATGATCACATTTAATATTAGTATTGAAACCTTCTTAGATAGGGGTGGGATGAAGGTAGCATGTGCAAAGCAATGAAGGGAAGAAAGGTCAGGACAAGATCAGAGAATTGTGAGTAGCATGGTTTGGCTAGACTGTATTTTGAATGATGGGGAAATAGGACACAAAAAGGCAGCAAAGAAGTTGGAGACAGACTGCGGAAAGTCTTGAATGTCAAGTTTAATATCAGCAAGCATGGGATACTACTGAAGGCTGAGCTAGGCAATAATATGAGATTTATCTATTAAGATGAGTATTGGGTCAATTGCATGGAAGAAGAGAGGGAAGAGGTTTGAGGCAAGAAGACCATTTACAGGTAATTGCTTATCAAATGTTTTTTTTGCAAGAAAGGTAAGGAAAGAAATCATATATCAAAACCAGAGAAGCATCAGAATTATCTCAGCTCAGATTTGGCTCTATTAACTCACAGTATTATTATATACATGCCATAAACATCACACATGCAGATATCATCCCTGCAGCAGTTCGATGAATCTAGAATCAGTATCTTTAAAGCTGGAAGGAATATTAGAGAACCCCCTAGAGGTGGGGCTGGACATGGGCTCAGCTTCAAGGCCCAATCCCCTTCCAATCAGAAGCATACTTTATGAGGTTTGTGAGTGATTAGATATGTCAGTTAAAAAGTGCTTTCCTCCTACTGGGAAAAGAAAAAAAAAAAGAGAGACATGATGTCTAGGGCTTAAAGTAAGCCCTGCAAGACAGGATCTCATCTACAGAGTTATCCTAAGCAGACTATAAGCTGCAAAATGGCTAATCTGTATGCACAACAAATTATGAGGAGCCCCACAGCTGTGCCAGCCATAAGACTTTCCTTTAAAGTTAAGAGAAGTGGGATTTCTCACAGGATTACATTGGTGACCTTCTCAAGATAAATGCCATGACACAGAAGAGGCACTTATGAAGCACAAATACCCAGGTCAAAAGGAAAGACTCAGCTGAAGAATGTGAGAGACTGGTGGCAGCATTGACCAGAATGATTCCCCCCAAGTATCTCCTTTCTAGCAAGGACGCCCATGCTTTTATTATTCTCCACAAGTGGAGAAGAACACAAGGCTAACAGCATTGAGCACTGCTTCCCTTGATGGAATGGAAGTTCCTATCATTTTTGTCTTTATATTCCCAGGGCCTACTGCAGTGCCTGGCACACAGTGAATGCTTAATATATGTTTGTTGATTTATTGATTTGGAATGAGAGTAACTGAGTTAGAAGCAGCTGGCCTTTCCTGACCTTATGTGTGACAGTATGCTCTGAGAGTAAATGAAAGGATCATAGGATCTTATATTTGGTGCTAGAACGGACCTTGAAGGCCATCTAGTACACACCTTTCATTTTAAAACAAGGAAACCGAGACAGAAAGGATAAATGATTTGCCCAAGAGCACACCTAGTCAATAAAACAGAAGAAAGTTGCACTTGGTTCTTTTAGTAACTACAATCATACACTATCTATCCATACTTAATTTCTGTTATGCTCAATTATCTGAAATAGCTTCTACTATTATTACTCACTCATTGCCCCAGTCCAGGCGAGCAGTGATATGCCGCTTCACATCTTTCATACGGTCATGGGTGAGATGGCCAACTAATACTTGACGTCTTAGGTCCAGGATTTCATTCATTATATGCCAAAGTCGGTGGAAGAGATCACCTTCATTTCTCTAAAAGAGATCCAAAGGAGGAAAATTCATTAATTAATCCAAAACACAAAGATCTTTACAGTAACCAGATTAATTTTTGTCGTTGTTCACTTGTGTCCGACTCTTCATGACCCAGTTTGGGGTTTTCTTGGCAAAGACACTAGAGTGGTTTGCCATTTCCTTCTCCAGCTCATTTAACAGATGAGGCAAATAAGATTAAATGACTTGTCCAGGGTCACATGGCTGATAAGTATCTGAGGCCAGATTTGAACTCAAGAAGATGAGTTTTTCTGATTCCAGGCCCAACACTCTATCCACTGTACCATCTAGCTGCCCAAATAGATCAATCAGCTAGTTTCTAAATTATGGTATGTACTCTCATATGCACTGAACTCATTCCAATTAAGAAATATTTATTCAGCACCTATAGTATGCAGAGCAATATGAAAGGTACAGGGGACAATAAAAAAAGTTTAAATAAACCATAGTCCTCACAATTATGGAGCTTATAACCTAGTGATACATATATAAAGTAATTGTAATATACAACAATAAGACAAATAGATGGTATAGTACATAGAGTGCTGTGCCTAGAGTTAAGAAGATCCTAGTTCAGGGGTGGGGAACCTGCCCTAGTTCAAATCGAGCCTCAGACACTTAGTAGCTGTGTGACCCTGGGCAAGTCACTTAACCTTCTTTGCCTCAGTTTCTTCATCTGTAAAATGAGCTAGAGAAGAAAATGGCAAACTACTTTTGCTGCCAAGAACACCCCAAAAAGAAGTTCCTAAGAGTTAAGACACGACTAAAACAACTAAACAACAATATATAATAATACATCACAGGTATACATTAGAGAATTGTGAAACAAAGTATCATCTGAGGTTACGCACATATACCACACACATATGATATAATCTCTTCTCCCATCATATTTGTTTACAACACTTTTCTGTTCAAGAATCTCTGATGGCTCCCTACTGTCTACAACTGAGTCCAAACTCCTGTACACAGGGTCCTGCCGCAGACAGGGCTGCTCTGTCTATTCAATTTTATTTTCTACTACTTTCCAATACATTTTCTCTGGTCAAGCCAATTTTCTCCTAGCCTTCTAAACAGAACATGCTCTGCAATTTGCTCATACTGTTTCCTGCTAAACACTCCTGAAATTCACTCTGCTACCAAGTACTATATGCCATTCCAAGCACCAACTGCTCCTCCCTCCTTTCTCTAAACTCTTAATGTACTTCTGAAAGGATCCACCTTTTCTTGAACTCTCTACAGTCTTTGACACCCAAACACTCTCTTCTCCTGATACTCTCCACTCTCTCCTGGTTCTCTTTTTGTCTGAATATGCCTCCATCTCCTTTGATGGATCTTCATCCACCTGATCCGTTAACCTGAGCCTTCTTCTCTCTATATATTATTTCATTTGGTGATCTCATCAACTCCTAGGGATTCAACTAACATCTCTACATAGACAGCTCCCAGATCTACTTGTCCAGTTAGTTCTAATCTCTCTCCAAAACTTCAATCTCACATCTCCAACTACCAAGTAGATATCTTGTTTTATCACAGTCATTTATATTATATATAATATATATTGTCCATTATATTTCCTCAAAACTCTCCCTTCTTCCTAACTTCTCTAATACTGCCAAGGATGCCATTATCTTCTTACTTACCAAAACCTAGGTATTGTCCTCAACTCTTAACTCTCAACTCTCAAAATCTGTATCCAATAAGTTGTCAAGTTCTACCATCACCATGTGTCTTGTATATCCCTTTCTCTCCCTCTGGTGCTGGCCCATATCACTTCACACCTGGACTGTTGCAATAGGCTGCTGTTTAGTCCCCTGCTATATTTCTCCTCATACAATCCATCCTTAATCAGCTGTCAAATTGATCTTCTGAAATAAAGACCAAATATAAAAATCCTCTGTTTATCCCAAGCATAATTCCTTCTTATATTGGCCCCTTCCTATCTGTCCAGTCTTCCTATCTTTCAGTCTAATTTCCTTGCTGGTCCTCTCACATTGCACTCCATCTCCTTCCTTTGAAGGTTTTCACTGGCTGGCCCCCATGCCAGGAACGGTCTCCCTCTTCAGCTCTGCCCCCTGGCTTCCCTAGCTTCCTTCAGGTCTCAGCTAAAGTCCCATTTTGTGCAAGAATCCTTTCCCAGTCTTACTCTCAGTGCTTTGCCTGTGAGATTATCCACAGTGTATCCTGCATATATGCTGTTTATTCAGAGTTGTTCACATGCTATCTCCCCCATTTGACTGTAAGGGCCTCGACAATAGGGACCATCTATTTATTTTTGTATTTGCCTTTCATAGTATCCCCAGAGCTGAGCACAGCACCTAGGACATAGCAGACATTTAACAAATGCTAGTTGACTTAACTTGACTTACTGACAGTCAACTTATTAAGTTACTGGCTCAAATACTTAGAATCAGTCCAACAGACTTTTGTCCTTCAATCCAAGTCTTTTATTTTCTAAATCTTTCACTAACCCTTGAACCCCAAACCTGAGGTATTATGCCTTGTAGACTTCTTAGATGTCTAATCTGCTTGTGTCTTTGAATCTAGAAAAATATCACAATTAATAAAAGTCAATCCCTTCTTCTGCTATTGTGTCAATCTTAGCTCCTCCTAGTAACCACTATCACACTCCTTAAGTGTGATGAAATAAGAAAGTATGAGAAATTACTTTTTAAGACTAACAAAAGAAAAGAAAATATATCAATTCAAAAGTTGCATCAAAAGGTAAACTAAAGAAATCCTAAGGCAGTAGCTTCTCTGGGCTACACTACCACCACAACCCCACCCTTACATTACCCCTTCCCCATACAGATATACCCTTGTTTGCTTACTTGAAGATGGAGTCTCTAAAAGGGTGGCTGCTACATTGGTTTCTAGAGGTAGCCCTATGAGTTTCTACTTCTGAAGATTATAGTCCTACCATTTACCTTACCATTAACAATCAGCTAGTAAAATTAATTTACTCTGTGCAAAGACATTTCCCAAGATAGTAAAAATGGTTGATATAAAATAATCCCACAAAAAATTTCTAAGATATACTATTCCAATAGATAGATAGATAGACAGACAGACAGACAGGCAGATACATACATACATGCATACAGAGTATCCATGGGCTCAAAGTTAGAGTTCAATGGTAGTGAGAGACACATAATACAGAACATTATGAAAAATGGGTAACCCACAGCTACTACTACTGAAATCCTTTCTCTCTTTGTGGAGGCCTCACACAGTTAGTGGGGTACAGCCCCATTTGTAGAGGGAGTAGTCTACTCAGCTGTGCCCAGGACATGCTATTTCTTTAGTCCATAGCTTACAATTCTCTCTACCATGAGACTTCACACTCTGAAGCGTCTCTCTTCAAGTGACAGTCTTTCTGTAACTGCCTATCCTCAGTGCGGCTCCCTACTCCCAGTTACATGAATTTTCTCATACTGGACCAGGCTGTCCAAAGAATGGTCAGTGAGGGTTTGGGGAAGAAAGAAAAATTTCTCCATATTCCAAGAGCAATTCTCTTTAAGGGACCTTGGTTTTCCTCCATTTCCAGCTACAGCTCCCAAACCTAAAATCTTCACCTCCTGAACTGTACAACTCCCACATTGACTTGTTATTTTAATGTAAAGGCTCAATGGATGTGGCTAATTCACCCAATCATAAGATGTTTCTTGTGACCCAATCAAAGACTTCCCCAGACAAAAGTAGATATATCTTGTTTACGTGTTAAAACTTCACAAAGACTTTACATTCATTATTTTCTGGACCTTCTGTAATTGTAGCAACTGAAGTATGTGGGGAAGGAAAAGGGTTGATTGATTCTCATTGTCATGCACAGGGAACTATATCTTTGAAAACTCAATGCTTTTCCTAAGAGACAAGTCAGTTTAACTTAGAAATGAAGTTCTCAGGTTCAAGTCAGATTTCTAGGAATTTTTCCTACATCCTACTGAAATACATTTTTTTTAAAAAGTTACCACATGAACAATGTAGCATTAAGGGAATTCAGAGATCATCTTGCCTGCTAACATGTTTTTATAGTAAGAAGCTGTCCTGACAAAACTATCAACTTTTATGTGATGAATAAGTTTTCAGTTGGTAAAGACGTTTAGCAATAATTGACATTACCTGTTTAAAAATGCAGTTACACATTTTCTACATCATGAAATAGCAATGGCTGAGGAGTCCCAATGTATTTCATAAACTGTCCCCACCAAGGAGAAGAGAAAAGCAAATGGATTTGGAGAAGGACGATAATTAGAAATGAAAAATTCAGGTCACACGTGACTGGCTTTCAGGTGCATCACTTAACTGAAACTGCTTTTTCAAAGTCACCAGTGTTCTCTTCACTGCCACATCTCCTGGCCTTTTCTCAATCCTTATCCTCCTTGACCTCTTTGCAGGCTTACACACTGTTGAGCACCCTCTTATCCTGGATAAACACTCTTCTCTGGGTTTTTATGTCATTGCTCTCTCCAGGTTCTCTTTATCTGTATGACCACTCTTCAGTGTCTTTTTTTTTTTCATTTTTCATGGAAACCATTCCCACTAAGCATAAGTATCCCTTGAAGTGCTGTCCTTGGCTGTATTCTCTACTCCCTGTATGCTATCTCCCTTGGACATATCATCAGCTTCCATGGGTTCAATTATCATCTCTATGGAAATGATTCACCAATCATTATAGCCTTTCCTAACTTTTCTTCTGAATTCATCTTGCATCAATAACTTCCTCTTGTACATCTTTAATTATATCCTAAGGCATATCAAACTAAGATGTCCGAAACAGAGCCAATTATCTTCCATATTCTGAGCTTCCCTATTACTAGGGAGCTCACATCATAGTTACCTAAACTCATAATCTTAATGTCATCCTCAAATCTTCATTTTCTCTCATTCACCATATTATATCAACTGTCAAGTCCTGTTGTTTCTCTGCTCCCCTTGCTCTCCTCTGATACAGCCACCCTTCTAATATAGGCTCTCATTGT